AACAGTCTTACTAGTAGCAATAATTAGCGTTTAATCGTAGTCACACTACTGATGTATCAAGTTGCTACTACTTTGTATAAATTTTTTACCGTTTTTGGTATTTACAGTAGAAAAAATTACTCAGATATTGACTAATGTCATTTAAATGAGTAAAAACTAAAAAGTTTACAAAAAAAAAGGAGTAATGGGTTTCCCATATACAGTTCAACTGAGTAAGTTTATGAGATATTTTGTAAGAATTTCGAGCTTTATCAAGTTTACAATTATAAGCCTATAACACTGATAATTTCCAGTCTGTAGTTGATTGTACACAGTAATGTTTGTCTGATCCTTTGAGGATGATCGAGTTATATTGTAAAGTTACAATCAGTCCACAGGTTGAAGTATCTTGACATTGTGTAACATGTAATTTAATGTTGAGTTGTTGGAGGTAGTTTCAAGAAATTCTATTTCTGAGTTTCCAGATAGCTGGCACTGTGAACTTTAAAAGACTCCTGATACTCTTGATATTGGAAATTGAATAATTTAATCTAATAAAAGCTAAATACTGAACAAACAAGATATTCGTTAATATTAAACAACAATCATAAATTTGATTAGTTGCCCTCTGACAATCTCATTGATAACATCCCATAATATGAAACTGAATAATGTTGGTTCAGATTACACAGGAAGCATCAGTTCTTCAAAGACAGCGCAGATATTCTATACTGATAAATGTCGACTAGCACTAAATGTAGTTTCATGGATTCTGATTGATCAGCTCTAACCACCTGGAAAGTCATTTTGTTTGCAGTCATTTTAACAGTTGATATCATTAAATATTACACTAATGTGACTGATAATCACTGTATTTTACATTACAAAAATAAATAAATAAATAAATAAATATTCTAATTATTTGTATAAACCAGTGTATTGATTTCGAATGAAACATAATTAATCTATGATTTATATTAATCAATTTGTTACGATAGTATAATGTAAATAAGCAAAAATAAAATGACCTAATGCATTGCAAAAGTGTTTTTTTTTTTTTGATTAAATACCTATTTTTAATTTCATATCTTGAAGATTATTCACACAATCTAATTCAATAAACATTTGTTAATGATTTTCTAATTAAACAAGATTAAAATAAATGAACAATACATGATAATGACTCAAAATTTAGGTGAGACATTATTATTATAAAGACAATATACAGAGAGAGTTTCAAAAACATCTTCCTTAATGTTTTATCTTATTTTGTTAAGATGTCATAACTTCTATTGTTCATATTAAAAGCGTTAATTGCTTATCTGGTCTATCCAAATGAACGACACTGAATTTAAGTCTGACTGAAAGTATTGACATTAGAGTATACATATGTTCAGTTGATGGATCTCATTTAAGATGAAACACTAATCCTGAATTTTCACCTATAACCTCAATTAGAAACTTTGAAAATATTACTCAAATTCTATTTCAAATATCTTTAATGTTATCTCAGTTGAATTGACTTCATTTGAAGAATTTTATCATTGTTAGCAACAGTATCAATAATACTTAATTTAAGTAGAAAATTGCTTTCATAATGTCAATGAAAGTCAATAGAAAGTTATTGAGAAACATTAACCTCAAGTACATAATATACATTGTCACTGTTTAAATTTGACGCTGAATCTATATGCATAAACATAATATCGTCGGTGTATCTTATTTAAAATAGTTACATAGTTGGATCACACTTCATGAAAATAATTATATATATATATATATATATATATATATATATATATATACATTCAATCTCTCCAACTTAAATTTATATCACAGAATGCCTTATTATTATTAAAAATAATACTTAAAGTACTCGTTGAAAGTACATTCATGATTAATAAATAAAATTTATTTATATTACAATACAATAAGCTGATAATGATTAGTATTTTGAAAAAATCGGTCATTCTTCTGTTATAAGAATATGCAGTTATATATATATATATATATATATATATATATATATATATATAGTGTGACCTTTAATAAATTGGTTAAGACCACAAAAAGTCGTATTGACATTTTATAGTTTTGATTTAAAATAGTCATATTAAAAAGAATGTATTTCATTAAATAAACATTCAATAAACAATGAAAAAAAAACTTTTTTTCACTAATCGAACTAATGAAAATGTAACTACGATAAAATTTATCACGAATAAATAATACACAAACACACGCTGTGACTGATTCTTTTGAATGGAAACAAAAAAATAAAACGATTATTTATGGCTAAAAAAAATGATTTTTATAAATGATTATGAATTATCACCATATGGTTGTGGAGATTGTTGAGTTTCCATTGAAATCATGAATAGGTCAGTGTTAGAGCACCAATAGAAACCTAGGAATATTGAACGGCTGTCAAGTCCTAATATGGGACTCATCAGCAGTGTTCGCCTACGACCCCCACAGCTCTTGGGGATCGAACACCAGAAACTTCGGTCTCGCGCACAAACGCATAGCCCCTAGATCACTGCGAAGGCATCCAGTGGCGTTAATGTCTAAATTAGATCAAACAAAGGTATTGCCTACCTTAACCTCATGTCTCTGGTGAGCACTGCTTCACACTCGACAAGGTTGAACGCCAATGGTTACAACTTTTCACTAAAACTCAGAGAAACGTCCCCATTAAGTGTCAGACAACTAAATAAATTTAGGAAATGTAAATATCTTATACTTTGAAACCAGTTAACACAAGTTAGGACCTATCAAGGAGTAGTCAGTCAGTTAGATGCAACGTGGAACTTCGTACGTAAGTACATCAGTTCATGTTGCCATACCATATTAGCATAGAGATATAATTGTCAATTCAAATCCAATAGTAGAAGAGGTGGTAAAGGTATTAGAAGTAATCGAATAGGTTAGGATTGGAAGATATTATTCTAGAAATATGATTTAGTGAGATAAGTTTAGAAAGACATAACTAGAGGTGTTGAAGAATCCAGAAGATTAGGATTTGAAAGAACACAGAGAATGAGTGCACCGGCGCCATTGCAAACGATTTTGAGCCATGTCACTTAGGGTCTCTAACCATCGATTATTATCGCGGACCCCAACCAGGTAGTCGACACCTACCGACATGACTCAGTTCACTTATCAGTGACTTCATGGATTTGTGCCATGTTTTGGTTTGGCCGCCCCTAACTTTCTTCCAACCTACTCCTGCACTACAAAACAAAGCTCGTCGAGGCAGTCGGTGGTTAGGCATATCAAAGAGTATCAGACTGATCAAAATTGTAAGTTTATTTTGTTGACAAATTTCAACTAGTACAAAGCCTAAATAAAGTAAAGTTTTCTAATCGAACTACTTCTAACTGCCTAATGTCAGAAATTTAAATATCACATTACAACTTAGTAGTTTTTTCAAGAACTGAATATTCTCATTTAGGTGTTCTTTTTGAAGTTATGAATGTGTGTTGTTGAAACCGTAAAAAGTTTTCTAGTGTTATTTGATCTGAAACAATTCTACAGTTGAAGTGAGTACTCGATGGAGACTCTCACAGAATCGTCTTTTAAAATATATACATTTCTTTCAACATTCATAAATTGGCATAATGATTATTTTTCCCAGAAATCAATTCGTTTAAAAACAAAGTATTATTAATCAACTCAACTTAAAATAGATAGTATCAAACCAATATATAATTTCAGTCTTGTGATTTAAGGAAATTGTCCGATTTTATTATGATCACAAACTGAAAGTCCACTGGTTTTCACTGATTTGAATAGCACTTAACAATCATCACAGATCAGCATAGTGTTAACCTTCATCAGCTCACTAGCAGCTAACTTCATTAAAAATTTTCTGCAGTACCAATGAAAAGCCATAACTAGTTGAGTTTAACCTTGTCGGATGCGGGAAGGTCATCCATTTAAAATAATGGAGGTTGGTTATTTATTATAACGAATTGATTAGAGTTGGATATGTAAATTTTTAGGTAATATCTCAAGTGGTCTTAAGACTAATCTCTCACTGAAGTTCTTGATTTCAATCCCTCTTAGGATCGTGAACACATATTCCTTGGAGATCTCATGTTTAGATGATGCAATGGTGTTTACCACAAATTTTATTGTGTGAAATACAAAATTAGTAGTATTTATGTTTTACATAATTTGATGCTTTTCAGTTCGATTAAAGATGTTAATGGGTAACAATGACAAGTGGTATAAACTTTCCAGTGATTTTGTAGTTGATCCGATCATAAGAATCTGTAGGTTTAAATCAATTTGATTTATAAAATTTTTTTTAGTAATATAAACTAGTCAACTATTCAACAATATTGTACATGGCAATACTTCGTGAGAAAAAAAAGATAAATATACAAAGAATTTGCATACTTTTGATTTATAAGAAATATCAAGCTAAATATTTTGTGTAAGCAAACATTTACTGTCAGAAATTAAATCTAGTTAATGATAAATATCAGTAGAAAAAAAGTGATTTCTTATGTGTTAACATGTCATTAATATTCTGTCATTTACTTTTTATTACTAGTATAATTCTATTACTTATGTGATAGTCAATAACAACCAATGATTGTGAATATTGACAGGACAGAATTTTACTCCATCCAATGGAAATTTTTATTAACTGCTACCATCCATAGTTCACGCTGATGATTTCGTCCAGAAAGACAACGAAAACTTCACAATCTAACCATCCAGTTGAAAGAATGCAGTTTCAACAGAAGCAATCAGAATATAGTACAAGCAACGTTTAAATCACGAATCTGTGAACACAATGAAAACTGTCTGATAAAATTCGGTCATCCAGAAAGGATAAACAAGTATCATTACTGATCAGTGATCAATCAGTGTATCACACATGCAGGTCAAGGATAGGTAATGTTTTATAAATCTTTTCCAATTTGAAATTGGATAAAAAATCTTCATGACTCATATATGTAGATATAACTATCATCTTATAACAAAAATATTACTTAATCAATACTTACTTTAAATATGAGGTAGATCGTTCATGTACAACAGAGAATTCAATTGCGTCAAATAATTGAGTAATTATAGCACCAGTTCGTAACATCTGTTCACCCAAATGACGTAATGACTTAATATTCATAAAATGAAATCTATTATTACTACTACTAGTACTACTAACAACAAATCGATCTGATGTCTTTTTTCCAGTTGTCAGTGCAAATGACACTTGAGCACAAAATATCATCACAATACAGAAATACAATAATGCATTACCATAAACAGTAGTAGTAGTAGTAGTAGTAGTAGAAGTATTCGTAGAGGTAGTTCTGTAAACTAAACAACATTTTTTACGAGAATTCTTTCGTTTGCATAATAAATGAATAGTTTGTTTGTTTGATAAAAATTTGGTTAAAAATTGACTTAAATGAAAATTTCGATAATCAATTAAATTGTAATCATTTATATTTGGTACTAATTTAATAATTTGATAGTTTGAATTAGATTTATTCAATTTGAAAATAACACACTGCTTACACATGTGTTGTACAATACTGCAATGTTGTATTCATGAGTAATAAAGTTCAGTGTATATATAATTAATTGATGATACTGTTTTAAATAGGTAACAATAGTGATACAAATTAATAGAGAAAAATTATGTAATTGTTTTGTCATTAATTCATTATAATAATAGTAATTGAATATTGCTTGAAATAATATTATGTACATTTTCTGAATAGATAAATATTTTAAAATAAATACTTTTGTTTTTCTATTATGAGAATGCCATTTAAATTAGATCCATTTTAAAAGTACCACAGAAAAATTCTATTTGTGTGTCCATATTGTGTTCAATATTTGTTAAATTGTCTAGTAAAAAAAAATCTATGCCTGAAAACAGAAAATAAAATTATGATAAGTAATATATGTTTACATAGATAATAAATTTTAATTCCATAATTATATTTATATGTGTGTATAATATATATTAAATTAAATTAAATAAATAAATAATTAACTATTATTCATTTCTTATGAAATATTATTAAAATTATTTAATAATTTTCATTTTCATTATGATCATTTGTTATTGATAATGTTTTATTGATAAATTGAATAGATGATTGTTAAATTATGATTTGTAGTGTTAAATGAACATTTATATTTATATTTATGAGATAATAGATGATGTTGTCAATTAGATATTTTCACTTATCTACAAATTTGTAATCGTTCACGTATGCAGTATACATTGCATACATATATGTACGCATATACATGTATGCATGTATGTAATATTGGTTATGGATAACACAAAAGGGAGAGAGATTGGAGAATAAATACTATTCACATCCAGTATTTACGAACATGTTCATGTATTTATTATATGAATATATATTTTCGTATGTCTGTTTCTCTATTAACCTTCATTTGTTCAGATCACAATCTAGTCGAGTCTGTCCGTATTTTAGAAATCTTTTTTTCTTATTTTACTTTATTTTATTTTTCAGTTATACATATTATTATTATTATTGTTTTATAGGCTGTATAGAAATTATGTAATTACTTTCAAATATGATGATTACACTGGATAGATGACGTCTACAATATAAACATGTTTTCCATTGTGCATGAGACTTTATAATTCATCAGAATAACTATTACAAGACATGTGTACATTATAGTAGTAGTTGTTTGTATTTTATATCAAATCTTGTTCATTCAAACTTATTGCATGTGTTTTATTTTTATTTTAATGATTATTTTGTATAAATTTCAAAAAAAAGAAGAAATTTTTTATCTCTCATTGTTTTTGTTTATTTTAATCATTATCATCTTCATGGATTACTTTTCACATTAGTTTAACATAATTTAAAATAAATTATTTCATGCAATTCATTATTGTACAAATTAATTATTTAATCATAGTTGATTTCATTCATGTAAAGAAAATGAAGTGAAATTAAATTAAAATTTTATTTTTGATTAATCTGAATTGAATTAGGTTATGATTTTTTGTGGCCTTTACCTTGTTAATTATTCTTTTGCTAATAATTGAATTTGTTAAGTAACTGCTTTCATGTTCGAAATTTTCATTATTACATTATTAAACAAGAATATCTGATGCTTGCCTATGTATTTTATAAGATGGACATTTATTAATGAAATTAATTCTAATGAAATTTGTAAACACATTAAGCTTTGTTGTTGACTGTAAATACATATCATCCATATCCTTTATTGGAGTAGGTGGATAGTGACTAGCGCAGTAGAATCCTTAACGCCAAAGTCATCCTATTTAAGACTTGTCAGTTGTGTTGAATCTACATCTCAGAGTTGATATCTGCCCCACGACTCGAATCCTGTCAACAATAAAAACAATAAAATCAAAATCTGATGTTGTTTTATAGTAAAAACGAATATTTAGAAAGATATCACTATATATATATATATATATATATATATATATATATATATATATATGTCTTAATTTTGATGAAGTATGATTGACTGAAGAAAGTTAAAACTGTGTAACTATTTTAAATCAGATTCAATAGCGATATATATATTGATTCAGCGTTCAACTAGGTTTAAACAAACTAGATTTAAACAAAGATTCTTCTAGATAATATTAATATTTACAAATTTAAACAGTGACAATGTATATTATGTACTTGAGGTTAATGTTTCTCAATAACTTTCTATTGACTTTCATTGACATTATGAAAGCAATTTTCTACTTAAATTAAGTGTTATTGATACTGTTGCTTTCAATGGTAGTTCAAAAATGATTGAATCATTACTTCAATACAAGTAATAAGACTGTCAATCTAGAAAAATCAACAAACTGAACATGACGGTTGGGGTAGCTTACATTTCATAACATGCTGAACAATTACGAAAATTTTATTTTGTAAACCAATTTCACAATGAGTTAGTCTAAATTTAGCTACCATTTAAAAATCTTACCATTTTTAATACTAAACAGTTTCCTATCGCCAATAATATCTCTGCACTTCAGATTTCATTTTATATTAGAACTTTTATAAATAAACTGTGTTCACTTGACAACAACCATTTTCTTCAATCTGAATTTTCTGTAAAAAAAAACTGTCTATTTTTCCGAGAGATTTCTCTTGGTCCTACAAAATGGTTAATATTTAATCGAAATTGTGGCACATGATTCTGTCTTTTCTAGAATCTTCTGTGGGAGTTCTATTTAACGAGGATTGAACTAACCATTTTCATGCGTATTTTTAGACCGCTATCTATTCTTCCATGGAATACCATGAAGCTCTTCAACAATGTCTACCGTCAATTCTCAAAGTATTTTATCATGTTTGCTTACCTCTTTTCAATTTTTTTTCCCTTGATGATCTAAGTATTAAACAGATTTTGCTAATTATAATTGAGCTAATTTATTTACCAATCCCTAAATTTCACAAGTAAAACTAACTGATAATTAAGAAAAAATCAACTGAATAAAATTTAATTTCATAAAGTATAAATATCACAATGTCTTATGTAGGATAATAAAAAAACAAAAAATTTGCATAACAAACAAATAAAAGAATACAAATGAATAAAGATATTTTACAGATGTTTCGCGTTTACCAACCAAATGTTTGATTCAATGAAAAATAAATGTACTTTTATTCAATATTACTAATAAACATCGAAGTACCACATAGTTCTTTGTTTCTCTCTCTCTCTCTCTGTATCTCCTTTTCGTTCTTCTCCTTCATCACTTCTTCTACTTCGTCCTCCCTACCTCATTCTCCTCTCCACCTACTACTAATAATACTACTGAAATAATTGATTATGATAATATAGACAGTATAGTGACATGATTACTTAATTATGCTGTATGTTGGTTAGTAACTTTTTACACATATGATTCTGGAAACTGCACTGCGACGTATACAAAACAGCACACACGCATACATACGTGTATATACACGCCCATCAGTTGTATTGTAAGAGGAAGAGAGAGAGAGAGAGAGAGAGAGTTAGTGAATTTTCGCACCTTTTTATTTCGTACACCACCTTTAATTTATTGTTATTAATATTATCACTTGACCACATGAATGCATAGATTTTCAAGACGGAATAATAAAAGAACTTTATTTGGAAAAGGTTGAAATACAAGAAAAAGAAAATATTATTCACCATTTATTTCAACGATCGAGGTAATTTTCCATCTGTGTATGTGTGTTTGTGTGTGTCAATGCATTTCATGCATCCAATTTTCAATTGTCTAGATAAATCTTGTTCTAAAATTATTGAAACCCTGGAAAAATCTCAAAAATAATTAGAATCATAATCACAAATATTAGATAACTTTATTCAATGGAAGGAGAAGATTGCAATACATACATATTGATAATTTTTATTTTGTCCCGTTTATAGTCATTTTGTATCTATTCGAGTATCGTTATTGTTAGGAAAGAAAGAAGGGATGTAGGTAGAGGTAAGGAGTAAAGAAGCAAGGAAAAAAAAACTACTTCAGAGTTAAATAATTATACATGGAAGATTCTTTTGTTTATTAGATATAAATGAGTTACTTGGTGGTTTCTTTAAAACAGCATAAATTTATTTTTTTTTAAAAAACAAAAAAAAAGTACAGTAGAAAATTTTCATCCAATATTTATTTTTTTTTGAAAAGAATTAGACAAATTCTACCAATTTTTTTCTTTATGCATAAATTATTCTCTATTCTTTTGAATAGTTGTTTTGTACAAAGAAAAAACAAACTACCATTTCACTTGTATTTATTGTTTTTTGAGTCTGTACAATTTTGTTTAAGCATCTTCTGAATCAATTAGCATCTAACTGATTCACACACCAACAAAATATGACTGTAACACAATTAGTCGTTTGGTTTGTGGGTAGAATTTCGTTTGAATTAGACAACCGTAAATAATTAACAACTTGATTAACTGTTGTTCTATCATCTACATGGATAGTTTGCTCTACACGATTTGAGTTTTAACTTGGTAGTTATTTTTCACCAAATTTTTTTTTATGAATTTACAAATTATTTCCATTCCAATATATTAGTAAACTATTGAATGATCTAAGTGTGGAAATTCTGGTATTCTCTTATCTATCTTAACTCAACCTTTTATATGTATTAATTTTAGTACAAATTTATATTCTGACATTTAGCAGCTAACTGATGTTCACACTGATAAAGATCAAGGGAGTGATACTTCTCTCAGTTCTAGTGAAATCATTTTGGAGACTCTTTTAAGATCTATATATAAATATTTTCGGTTATCGTTACGGTCTTTAGGTTATATAATGTGCATTGAAGATATTTCGTTGATTAGTTCCTGAAAGTTTGAAAAAAAACCCAGTTGTGCTCTCAAAGCAGCCTTAACATCAGTCTTAGATAATTGAAATCATTCCCTTCCAAAAAAACTGGTTTATAAACTAAAAATAACTTGTTCAATGTATTATCATACTTTTGATTTGACGAATGGTAGGCATGTGCGACCCATTACTCTAATAAAGTTTATTACGAATTAAACTAAC